GTGTTTTTCAGTGCCTCTTTAAATCAAGCTGTGTTGATATTGTTTATGTATGCTGCATGTGCAAAAATCTGATGGTCAAGGAGATGCATTTTTATAAAAAAAAATAAATCCACAAAACCCAAAAAAGCAAAAGCCCAAACAACAACCAAAAAACTACCCCTCAACCCCAAAAAACAAAACCACACAACTTCTTCCGCCCAGTGTAAATAATGAATTAAAGATACAAATGAAACACTCAGAATTGCTCAGGTTGGCACCAACAATTATAGCACCCAAGGGTGCTATAAACATCCTGTGAAAAGAAAACTCTGTTTTGTGGTTTTAGTGACTGTTCCATGTATATTTCTTAAACCGGTTAATTGAAATTTATTTCACTGGATGATTGAACAGATTTGTTTGAGATATTCTGCGCTTCAGACTATGTATTCGTGAGTGATTTTGCAAAAGCAATAGCTTATAGTGGAATTATGTTTTAAGAAATTAACATTTTTGAAATGTAAATGCATGCTGCAAAATTGTAGTGTGTAAATACTTCAGTGGCCTCCTGCAAAAAACATGCACATCTGTAGTCTTCATGACAGTAATTGGGTGACTTAGATGAATTTTTACAGAGTTAAGCCTTAGTTTTGTAGTTTTAATCTGTTTAGCAATGTTAGTTGAAGAGATTAACATACTTAGTATCGCTGTGGTATCTTAGGTTTTTGGAATAGAGAGACTTCACTGTTTTTAGAGCAGTATTTGTATTTCCAATTGTAGTCACAAAGATAAAAGCTGAATATCCTTGAGTTTATTTGGAATTGGTTTACTGTTTTACTTTACTGAATGGTTAAGTTTTATTTTGGAAAGAAAAACTGAGGTTTTCTTTCAGAACATTCAGGTCCTGTGTTATAAGCATACTCAGATTTTGCAGTGGCTGATGCTATGTTGTGTTCATTGTTTCTCCTCAGAGGTCTTTTAAACAGAGTATGATGTCAGTCAAGTGTTTTACATGGTTCTGTTGGAGCTGCTACGATGTCAGTGGGATAAACAAAAGGCTCCTGCAGATAATTCATCTAGATCCCCTAAATTCTCTACAGGATATGAAGCATAAAGGTTCCCCTGACACTGAATTAGATCCAGATAAATCAATTCAGCTGAAAGGTGCTGATGTGTTTGGTTTTGATTTTTTTTGTGTGTGTGTGTGTGTGTTTGGTTGTTTTTTTCTTTCTTGTTGTTGTTGTGTGGTGTGGGTTTTGGTTTTTGTTTTTTAGTTTTTTTTTTAAGAAATTGCTTTGGTTTCAGAGTTGCATAGCTCATTGTTCTTCTCCATGTATGTGTTCTGTAAAAAAACAAGTGAAGATTGCAGATATTAGCCATTAATCAAAGGTGAATGCTTTAGGTGTGGAATGGCTTTTAAAAAGTGGGCAGGGAGTTTTACACTGTATGAAAAGGGAAGATGAAGCATAAAAAACCCAGTATGGCTGCCCGTTGCCATACTGCAAGATGTCACAGCTGGAAATAGTCTTGGGTTGTATGTTTCAAGTATTTTGTTTTGTCTGTTGGATCTCTCTCTGCCTTAAGTATGTTTGAAAAATGCGTGGACGAGATGTCTGTACCACTTTGCTTCCATTAACTGGACTGTACCCTGAGATGTTTTACTGGTGTTGCAGAAATCCATTAGAAGTAAGAAATAACTAGGGAAAGCGGAAAGCGTGTTGTTCCTCATTGTTGAACATAGAGATTTGTGCCATAGTTTTCTGTTATAAAAATGAGAATCTAGAAGCTTTATGGCAGTTCCATTCTCAAATGAAAGATTATTAGTGCTTTTGCAGCAGAAATTTAATAGGTTTTAAAGATGTTTTGAGGAAGAGCACAGGCATGATCCCTGGATGTCCTTTAGACAGAGCTTATAATAGCTTTATGATGTTTCAATCCTTGTATTTGCAGTAATGTTGACAAACCTAAAGCAACTGATCTGTAATTTAGAACTTTTTAATGTAAAGAACTCTGTTCTTTTGGCAGCCGTTTGCAATGCACCGTAAACAAACCATGTTATGTGTAATGGTAGTTCTTTACAGTGGGAGGACGGTGTTTCATGGGATTACAATAAAACTATTTAAAAAAGAATCAATCTTAAATCTTTTGCCATTTTAGACTTAACAATAAAGATTTTGTTGCTCCCACCTCGTTCTCTATCTGAAGGTGCATCAGAATTTTCAAAGTGGAATTTTGATTCTGGGAAAAATAAATTCACTTGAAAACTATGTTGAATTTTCTTTTGTTTCATTTCACTAGTGAGACTCCTAGTAGTTATAGGAATTTTTGTTTTAGTAGCTTTTTGTTTTGCAGCAGTGAAGCTGACTTAAGTAATTTCTGGCTGCTTATTCTGACCCTTGTGGTGCAGTTTGCTTCCCCGCTTCCACCCATAAGGCTGTTGCAACTCTGAGGGGGGACGACAGGAGTAGCTGTATTTTTAACTGGGTTAAAAATACAATTCAGAGTAAAAAATAACCCTAAAATTGTTGTGTGTTTTTAAACCAGTTAATTAAAATGATTCATGTTCTTGCTGTATTCTTCTTTCTGTTAAGAAAGTGAAAGAAAAGGTATAATATTTGTAGATGTACCAGATAAATTAAGAGAAATTAAGTAAACAATAATTACAGAAAGTAATTATCTTTTTTTGTAATAGAGGTTATACGTGGAGTTGTGTTCATTATATTCTTCACCTCTTATACTTCTCCTAAAACACAGTCAACTTTTGCCTGTAAAATAGAACGCACTCATTTTAAATTTTACAGGCTCTGAACCACTGTAACCAGAGTGCATGGGACTAGGATTGCAGCGTCTAAATTGAATTGCTAAGAATTCTGTAAAATAACAAGTCGTCTCTAAAAATTAATCCTTTTTTTCTTTCAAAACTGTAGGCTTTAGTTGTATCTAAACAAGTTTATGAGGTGAGAATCTGTTAAGTATGGAACTTTTACATTTTAATACTATGTCCCTTTAGAATAACTAGCAAAGCAGCATCAATTGTAATGCTGTTTGTGGAGTGAATTTTTTTCAGGCTATTAATTCCTTTTAATATATGTTACCTTTGGCAGCCTGTTTGAACTGTTTGTACAGTTTGTATACATAATGTATCAGATTAAATTCTTTTGAAGGCACTTGGGTTACAGCAGTTACAGTTATACCAAAGTGGTGTTTAGAGAAAACACAGATATGCATTGAAATAGACTTTTTACTATACTAGACTTTCAAAACAGGGGCAAGCAATTAGTCTCCACTGCACTAGGGAAGGACAAGCAGTTATAGCGTGTTGTTGCTGCTGGTTATATTGCCAATTTTACTTGGAATACTAACTTTAATTAAAATATCCTGCCTTCATTACACTGAGTACATATATTTTTTGGTTGCAGGAAGCTGATAGCTCTTTAAAAAATAAAGACCTTATGAAAATTGTAGGTCATCTTCTCCAATGCTGTTTTCAGAAAAGATGGTACATTGATGATCCCTTGACATTCTTTGTTATATTAAGGCATATGTGTTATATTAAGGGATATAATAAAGCCATTTAGAGTTTAAATACTTGTAATGTATTACTCCTTTTTTATAGCATATGCAACAAAAATAAAAATTACTGTATGTGCTGCTGTAGAGTTTAGGAAGTGATAGAGTCATCAGTTCCATTTGCCACCCCTCACGATTCAACACCCCCTACCCTCCAAAAAAGTCATAATGCCCAAACTTCTGTTTAGTTGCTTGTAAAAGTGGGGCTTAATTATGCTTGCAAACAGAGTATTTTGACAACTAATGAGTAAAAACAGTCCTCATTATATTTTATTGTATTTAAAACATTGTTAGTTAGGTTGGAATCTGGCCAGTAGAGGTTCTCTGTAAACTCTGGCTGGTGTGTTTCTCTTGATGTCACAATACCATCTTGTTATTTCAGGGCATTAAGCTTTGTTTAAAAATGGGAAGTATTTTCATCTTCCAAATGTAGAGCGGGAAGACAACTTGTACCTTCGTATCTGCACAAACAATGCAAGTCATGCTGCAGTCAGGCATGTTGGTCAGTCTGTCTTGACCTTGTTTACAGTTTGATTTGTACCACTGTCATGGTTGATAATAAGCTGAGCTTTACTCAATTTTGATATCAGAAATAGTAGTATATTATCTCAGTATGTGCGTCTACTTTAGTGTTATTAATTTCTTTTCTCAAGAAAATAGTGTTGTATTGACAATAGTGGGTTTTGGGGTTATTTAAGATGACTTGACTTTAGATGGCTGTTTTGCTGTGGTGGAGATGCCGTTTAGCCATCCACTGCCTTAGAAGGGTATGGATGTTACTGTAATTAGATAATGAATGCCATACTTAAAAGTGGCTTCCCGTCTTGCATCTGTCACTTTTCTGACAAAGGAATCTGTTTTGGATGTTGTTATCATCCTCTGTCTCAACTTAATATCCAAGACATAAATCCTGCAATTGTTCCATGAGCTTTGTGAGACCTTTCGCATGCTCTAGCTAGGCCAATGTAGTGTAGTAACTAGCTTTTCATCAGGAGTTGTTCTGTTTTTTTTCCCCTTTTGCCTCCAGTTGTCTTTACTGTGGCTTGAGTGAGTGGTGTAACTGTCTGGTCAAATGCAAGCTCTCCTTTTCAAGGAAAAGAAAGTATAAAGAAAAATAGAAGTTCTTTATGTTTTCTAAGCCAGGCAGTTTACAGAAAGGAGATGGGCAAAAGATATGAAATATAGCTTTGTTTGTCCTCTATGCTGGAGTCTTTGATAGTCTCTGTGTAACTGAATGCTTGTGCCAAAACAAACTGCTTATTGACTCCTTATTCGTATATTAATTGTGAATAGCAAGTTTAATATATTTTTGTATATTCAATACCTATTATATATACCTGAAATGGGCTTGTAATACATTCTAAGGAAGAGAAGAAATCTGATGACCATATGTTAGCATTAATTCAAATGGCATGTTGTAGTTCTAAATGACATCTATTTGCAATTTTTTAAAGAATAATATTCAAGCGTCAGAAGCTCTTAAAACTGAAATTGATGATTTGAAGAAGAAGCATGATGAGGCTGCTTCAAAAGTTCTCCAGCTTGAAGAAGATATCATGACCGTTACTCAAAAAGCCATTGCAAAAGAAACAGAGTTAGACAGGTATTTAGTCATTTTGTTCCTTACTTTCCTTATTTTACCCTTTCTTTCTATAGGTGTTTTTTTAAGCTAACAATTTATGTTGTATGCATCACTTCTCTGTGTTAATGGTTCTGTACTATTAATTTGTCAATGTCTTAGTCTGAAGGACAAACTGAAGAAAGTGATGCTTGAGAAGGAGCAACTTGAATGTGTGTTAAAGACAGAAAAGGATGAAAAAGAACTTTATAAGGTAACTTTATTGCTTGTACCTGTATATGCTGAAATGGTTTGAAATAAAGGTAATAATGTTTTATGGAGAAGTGTGATAAATTGAATTTGTTGAGGAAAAAAGGAAATGGGTAACTGCTGTGAAGAGATTTTTAAGACAGTTATAGATGTCCTTATATAAAAATGAATGAGGAAAATAGCATCTGAACTCATCCCATGATATAAAAAAGTCTCTAAGGAGGAGAAGGGATCATCAATTTGTTAAAATGCAGGCATAGTAACAAAATATAATAGATGCTAGTGAGGAAGTTTTTAGTTACACAGTGCATCACCCAGTAACTGGTTTTCTTAACACACTTTTTCAGAAGTAAATTACCTTTTACTCTTAAGTTCTCTCTCCAGACTGTGTTTTCTACATCCCTATTCTTGGGTCTTGTGCATAACTCTGAGAAGCTTTAGTAGGATCTATATTGTATTGTTTTTTACTAGCATAGCTGGTCTCTTTTGCTGGTCTTGAGAGACACACATATCTAAAACAAAATATAATGTCTTCCCGCCCCCCCGGCCTCCAAAGGCTAAAAAGTTTTGTATGCTAAAATGAAATCCTTGGGTTGTATGAAACAAATTAAGTGTATTTAAAAGATTAATTCTGTTCATAGGAAAATGTTGCTGGGGCTGACAGTATTAGATACACACCAGAAGTCATAAAATCTCGAAACATCTTTCACAAGGGTAGAATCCCTTTGTAAATAAGCAACACAAGTCTTCTAGTCTTGGAATGGACAACACTTGAGTGCAATAGTTATCCTTTATTAGACATAATATGATAGACTTGATGACATCTTAAAAACAGCTCTAGAGTTGCTAAAGTAGTTTGCTGTCTTTGGAAATTAATATTGCTGACGTAGTCCTGTTTGCTTAGACGGTTGCAAGTAGATACTACTGAAAGTTTAGTTTTCTCTTTAGTTTTCCTCAGGCTATTTCTTTTTTGCTTGTCCTCAGTTGTCCATCATTTATAAAGAGAGGGTTGAATTCTGAATAGCTTAACTTGATGTGGACAGAAATCAGGGCCTTAACCTCTAGCTGTAGAGTGGAGCTGTTAGATGATCAAGCTGAAAGAATGTTTAATTTTTGTCTTTACCTGTTCTAATCTGTCTCAGAGATGAGTGAGAATTTAGCGAACACTTAAATGGAGAGGTGAACAGTAGTTTTTGTAACGTGGAAGAAGAGTTTGACATTTTTTAGCATCATTACAGATACACTTGAAGAATACAGAAATAGAAAACACCAAACTAGTAAAAGAAATCCAGACGTTTAAGAATTTGGATGCAAACAAAGAAAACATGATATCGTATTATAAAGAGGAGGTTGGCAGATTACAGCTATTTATAGCTGAAAAAGAAAATGTGAAGAAAGCTTTTTTGCTCTCCTCATCAAACAAGGTAAGCACTACTAATATAATTGGCCTGGTTTAAAATACAGTTGTATGTGTCTGACGAGAGAGGAAGGAGCTGAAGGTGAGGGGCAAGAGGAGTATAGTGATCTCAGTAGATGCAGAAAGTGAGCAAAAGGGTGAATTCTGTTTTAGTTTTGCACATTCTGAGCTTGTTGAGGTGTCTCATATAATGAATTGTGAGATGAACTATGTGTGAAAAAGTGATTTGTGAGTTCAGTAAAAGTGGTGAACTCCTTGAAGTTGCTTTTAACTTTATGAAAAAGGAAGGAGATTGAGGAAAAGAGAAAAGTTAATGTAGCTGGGTTGAGACTGCAGAGGGTGATAGAGGAGAGGAGACATAGAAACATGTGCTGGAGGACTTGCTAGGTGAATGTACTGTCAAGATACAATGATGTAAAGCCTGAGAAGGGATGAGACACCATATAAATGGACTAAATTGACTGTGAACTCAGCAACAAGAGTGCCAGTAGGATTTCTAAGGAAGAGGCGACTTTTGCTGTGGAGTGTGGTAGCAGTGTGGTTAGCAAGCAGTGTGGTATAGTAGGAGTGTGAAATTATTGAAGAGCTGGTGTCTATGCTGTTTGAGGTCCAGGTAGGGTTCTTTCAGACTAGTTTTAGTGTGGTGCTATGGATAGATGTATTGGGTTTGCATGGCAAGGTTTTGGTAGCAGGGAGGCTACGGGGATGACTTCTGTGATAAGCTGCTAGAAGCTTTCCCTGTGTCAGACAGAGCCAATGCCAGCTGGCTCCGAGAGACCCATTGCTGGCCAAGTCCAAGCCCATCAGTGGCAGTGGTAGCAACTCTGGGATGACCTATTTAAGAAGGTGTGTGGGGGGAAACCTGACTGTGAAAGAGCAATTGCAGCTGGAGAGAGGAGGGAGAATATGTGAGAAACAACTCTGCAGACACCAAGGTCAGTGAAGAAGGAGGGAGAGGAGGTGCTTCAGGCACCAGAGCAGCAATTCCCCTGCAGCCTGTGGTGAAGACCATGGTGAGGCAGGTTGTCCCCTTGCAGCCCATGGAGGTCCGTGGTGGAGCAGATATGTACCTGCAGCCTGTGGAGGAACCCCACACCAGAGCAGGTGGATGCCCAAAGGGGGCTGTGACCCCATGAGAAGCCCATGCTGGAGCAGGCTCCTGGCAGGACGCGTGACCCTGCAGGCATGGACAGGGCAGCCTACGCTGGAGCAGGTTTGCTGGCAGGACTTGTGACCCGGCAGGGGACCCATGCTGGAGCAGTCTGTTGCTGAAAGACTGTGCCCCGTGGAAAGGAGCCATGCTGGAGCAGTTTGTGAAGAACTGCAGCCCATGGGAAGGACTCGTGTTAGAGAAGTTAGGAGGAATGTCTCCTGTGGGAGGGACCCCACGCTGGAGCAGGGGAAGAGTGTGAGGAGTCCTTCTCCTGAGGAGGAAGGATCGGCAGAGACAACATGTGATGGACTGAGCGTAACCCCCATTCCCTGCCCCCCTGTGCCACGTCATGGGAGAAGGTAGAGGAAATGAGGAGTAAAGTTGAGTCCGGGAAGAAGCGGGCATGGGTGGAAGGTGTTTTAAGATTTAGGTTTTATTTCTCGTTATCCTACTTTGATTTGTTTGGTAATGAATTAAATTAATTTTTTCCCCAAGTTGAGTCTGTTTTGCCCGTGATGGTAATTGGTGAGTGATCTGCCTGTCCTTATCTCAACCCATGAGCCTTTCAATGCATTTTCTCCCCACTGTCCAGCTGAGGAGGGCAGCCATAGAGTGGCTTTGGCGGGCACCTGGCATCCAGCCAGGGTCAACCCACCACAGGAGAATACCCATTAGGTGTGTCTTTCTGATGTACATATTCACGTTTTGCTTAGTCCAAAAGGAATGCAGTTTCTGTGCCTTGAGACTGTTCTGTCCTGTGATCTACAGTGTGATAGGTAACAGTGGAATTGACTGGGAGTTTTGCTTCACAAATATGCACTCGATCCAAACAAGAGAGTTAATTTAGACACAGCCTTTGAGGCCAGCATGGAAAAGTCAGATTATACAGGTAACATTATCTTGTGTATCTTGCCAGTCTTCTCACAGGAAAGCAATCTAGGTCTTGAAAGAACAGAAGTTGCGTTAAAGCAATATGAGTTATGAATGTAAAATTTAAGTAGAAAAGTAGGGCTGTTAAGAATGGAAATAGCAAGAGGACAGAAAGGGCATGCTATCTTGCTTCAAGTTACAGCTTATCTTGTTTGAGTCTGCTCTGCAGTTTGTTTCTGAATGTGTTAAACCACTATTTTGTTTCACTTTGAAGTAAAAACATGTAGGGGGGTGTGTGTGCGCCAGTACTGAAGCAACCAAACATTTATGTCATTTATTAATTTTGAAGTGCTTGTGATGTTTCTGGTGGGATCGTTAACACTTTTGTGTTACACTTGAAGTTGCAGACATTCACTGAAATGTGTAACTGATGCATTGTGTGATGTAAAAATAGCTAAGGGATGGGACTTTAGGGCATTTCCCAGTCCATTCATCTTCATAAATGTTTACAATTTATGTTGGTATTCCTCTGGACTTGCTTTGCTAAATGATTATAATGATTATTCAAAAATTAACACATAATGGACTAGAGATACCTGAATTTATGTCTAGACTCAAGAATATGAGATGATGATGCGTTCGGGAAGCCCAGAGGCTGCGAGTATGCGAGTAGCTTATAGTAGCTTTGATTTTTTTTTTTTTTTTTTTGATGATCCTGGGCTTCTCTGAGGAATGAGACGCCAGTTGTGCAGCTTGGTCTGTTGGCCCTTGGGCTGCACTGTGGAGCTGCAGCAGCGTTGGGAGTCTTAGTGCTGCATGCTGCAGCTTGCTCTTCATTACTTTTTGTTCTTGGTTCCTTCTGAAAAGCTTGTTGTGCAAGATCTTGGGAAGTGGAGCTGTGAGAAAAACATCCCAAAGCTGCTTTACAGTGTCTTATGTGAACCAGTTGTAGGCATTGTAAGCCCTCTTACTCTGCTGTCACCTCAGTGTCTCACTGTGGGATGAACTTTGGTTTTGAAGCTGGTGGCTATTTGTGTCTATTAACAGTTCTACAGTGACAAGAGCAAAGATGTTCTGGAAGACAGAAGTACTTTTTTTGGGTATATGTTTACAGCTGAAAATACAACAAAAATCCAGTATAGTTAAAATAATAATATTTAAATTTACCTTTATGTCATAGTGAAATATGTTTGCACACCATTGTTAGGAAAGGTGGCAAATGGGGAAAATGGCACTTGTGTACTAACTTCTTGATTTAGTGGTTTTCCTAAAACCACCAGGAAAACTTGATTTTTCTTTCAAATGTTTTTAATCCCTATACCAACCTTTACGCTTTGAATTAAAAAATGATTGATTCTCTTCTCTCGCTTCTCTCTCCTAGGAGGATGCAAGTATTTTGAAAGAACAGCTTCGGAAAGCCGAAGATCAGATTCAGGCTAGCAAACAAGAAGCTGTCCTAATGTCAAAAGAGCTGAGCGATGCAGTAAATGTGCGAGATAAGACGATGGCAGATCTTCACAGTGCACGTGTGGAAAATGAAAAATTGAAAAAGCAACTTGCTGATACTTTAGCTGAACTGAAAAAAATCACAGCTTTGAAAAATGAACAGGTAAATTGTCAGTATTTAGTACTGAAGTTTATCTGTATTTATAAAATCTGTTAGAGCTAGCTTTGCTAAAGTTGCGGAATAAAATACGTTTCTGGATGATTAGTAAAAATTATTATCAAACTCTCCTTTGGCATTCAAGATAATACCTTAAATCAAGTGCATGTTAGCTGATTTGGAAGGCTGGTAAGAAAGGAGGTTTCTGCTACTGCTTACAGTAGCTCCCCTTCACCCTCACATTATTTTCACAGAATAATACAGTATTTATCTATATTATTTTGAATCCTCTCTCTGTCTTAATTCTTTTATGTGAGCCACAGTAGCATTAAGAATTCGTTCAGGTAAAGTTGATCAGGAGAAATTTTTTTTATAACGTTCTTTCATCATTGATGGATTCTCTCTGGGTTCTTAAGAGTCCTTCTAGTATTTGTGGTCAAAGTTAATTTGCTTTAGTATTTATAAGTATAAAAAAATATTGATGTAATAGAAATGTCTTGAATTTTTTCATCTTGGCTAAGAATCTAGTGAGCTAATGTGAGTTTTATCATTCTAACTTAAGTGAGCTTTGTACTGGATCTTCCATGACTGCAACTGTATTGGATTAACTCACTACTATGATTACTGTAATGATGTAACAGTTGGGGGAAAAAAAAAAATTGACCTGAACAGTAATCAAAATAGTGCACTAAATATGAAGTGGATAGCAGAACTTTCAAAAGAGCTACTGTATTTAAAATATCCAAGAATTACATGTTTTGCTAAGAATTTCAGTTATATACAGTGTCTTTGAAATGCATCCTGGAAGAAGTAGCAGTTCATCTGAATGACTCAAGTTGCCAGAAAGTATCTGAATACGGCATATATCCAGTTGGTGAATGTAGTTTGCCTAGCTCGTGTATCAGTGTTACAGCTCAACTGAACTGCTTCTAGTGGAAACATAGCGAGTGTGATGGGCAAACGGTTGTGGTCTGTCCATTTTTGCCACGTGGCTATATTTGTCTATAAGATGGCCAGAACACCTTCTGGAAGGTGTGCAGACTTTTGGTATACATCATAGAATAAGAATCTTCTTTACCCGTCTCTGGTATTATAACAGTGCCTGTTTACTCCCGCAGTGTGTCCTGCTTGGAGTGAAGTTCAACACAGGTGCTGCCTCTCTCTGTGCTCTACTACTCTATTCCTTTCCTTCCTACAAATAAAACAGGGACTACTTCTGTACTTACATAGACCGTTATGCTTTCTTTAATTGAAAAAAGGCTTTTTCAGAAATAGTGGTATTTGAACAAAAGGGAGAACAGTTTCTAATTTTTTTTTTTTAAGGAAACTTCAAACACAGTGGAGCAGGACCTGCGCAGAGAAGTTGAAGATCTAAAGCTTCGTCTGCAAATGGCTGCTGACCATTACAAGGAAAAATTCAAAGAATGTCAAAAACTTCAAAAACAAGTGAACAAGTTTACAGAACAGGCAGTAAGTAGAATGGGAGAAATTGCACTTGCTTTTTGTAACTTCTCAGCAGGTATTTAATTTTCTTCTGCAAAAAGTGCTTTTAAAAAGGATTAAAACATGTGGTAAGCGATGGCTCTTTAACTTAGCATTTTCTTTCATAAACTAAGTTACTTCTAGGATTCTTTGTAGCTGTTGAAACCATAGCATAGGATTTATAGTAACTGGTGTATGTAGAAAGCTAACAGATGGATGAGCCTATAAGCATAACACTGTTCAAGGAAGAATTTGGAAACAGAAGCAGGGAAAGATCCGTAATTACTACCTCTACTCAGTACCACCACCACCACAAAAAAAACCCAACCAACCAACAAACCCAAAAGTGGAGGAAATGGAGAACTTGGAGGAGGATTTCAAAGTGAAATGGGGAGAAAGTTTCCACAACACAGTATATAGTTGTATTCCATATGTATTTTGTGCTCTTATCACTCTTCTAAGCTTTGTTCCATAAATGAGTGAGGCTTTTGCAATGATGCTGTGAGTCTTATACCACCTAGTAGCCGAACTTGTTAGCAAATTTGTAGAAATTAGTGACTGACTCAGAGAGGAGCTCGGACAGGGGAAAGGTGTATGAGCAATTGCAAGATGTACGAATGCAAGAAAAACAGACCTAAGTATTTCGGCTGTCCACAGAACAAATGGAGTAGTTACCCAGCTTTGTTCCACAGATTACATTAAGAAGTTGTCTTCTCATCCAGAAGGTCAATGGTGAATGGGGCGTCATGTCAGAACGCCTGTAGCTTTTCCTTAATCTTCCACATCTTTGGATAACACACACAAGATTTCACTACTTTGACACCGGAAGTCCAGCACTCATTAGTAATACAGACTCCACTTTCTAATGGAATATTAGCTAAGTCGATGGATTTTCTCTAGAAAATGAGATTTTTCTAATAATTTGCTTAGAAATTACTGTTACTAGGGAAAAAGCTTTATAAAAATTAAAAAAACCATAGTCTGAGGCAATGTCAGTAGAATTAAATGTGTTTGCATATTTATTATTACCTCCTGTTTTAATAAGCAATTCCATCTAGTCCAATTTTGGAGGAGATGGTAGTGCAAGATATATGTTACTTTGTGCTTTGGCTTTCATTTAATTAAATACCAAAATAAAATTTCTTTTCACAAAGAAAATTGCAGGGCCTCAGCAGAAACTGACAGATGCATCTAACATTGAGACAGCTACTGCCGTTGTTACAGACAAAAAGTTGTCTGCATCTCCAGGTATCTTCAGCTTAAATTTTGTCTATTTCTGTCAGCCTGAAAGTGTTGTCTATGTGAAGTAGTCCCTAATAGTATTTCTAATACGAAATAGGTGCACTTGTTCTGTTTTAGTTAAAGCAACGATTAGAAATGTGAGAATTCATCTAAAAATCTTGTCTTTTTTTCAAGTGGTAACATTCATAAATAACTTCATGTATCTCTTCAAAACAGTTCAGTTGATATTTGTTAATGTCAGTAGGACTGAACTCTTGAGTTTCTGCTTGATAGTTAACACAGAGCCAGTTTTGCCAAGCTAATAATTCTTTTTTAAAAAAAAAATCCTTCCCAAATTTGAAAATTATGTACAATAGCATGGTAATTTTGCAGTAGCATTTCTACTGTAAAATCAAAGCCACTGAAAAGTTCTGATTATGTGATGGCAAGGTCAAGTCTATAGACTATTTATAGGCCATAGTTGTTTTATTAGAAAATATTTAACTAGGTTATAATTTTAATGAACTGTTAAGTTCTTACAAAATGAATCTTCTAAAACATAAACATATAATAGGTTAAAACTAAGGAAGAAATTCTTTATGATGAGGGTGGTGAGGCACTGGCACAGGCTGCCCCGAGAAGCTGTGGCTGCCCCCTCCCTGGCGGTGCTCAAGGCCAGGCTGGATGGGGCTTGGAGCAACCTGGTCTGGTGGAAGGTGTCCCTGCCCATGGCAGAGGGGATGGAACCAGATGGTCTTTAAGGTCCCTTCCAACCAAAACCATTCTGTGATTCTATTAATCAATTTAAATTGATGAATGCCAGGAAATGCTGACTTTTGTGTTACTTTATAATTCACACATTCTTTCTGTCTATAGAGACTATAGGGTGTAATTCCTGTTGGTTTCCTCCTGCCTAAGTAAATACAAGTGTTTCCTAAAACAAATAAAATCCAAGCAAGCTCAGTTATAGTATGTGGTAGGATGAGGTAGATTGCTGAGGCACTTCATGGTTTTTATGGAAGAATGAAATATCTAGTGTGGTATCATAATGTATACGTATTGTGGGGTTTACTTTCTTAGGAGCTAAGGGGAGATATGTCTGGGGCTTTTTTTTTTGTTTAGTTTTTTTTTTTTAATGTTTACCTTTGTAGTATGTATGTGTATATTCATGTTCGTCGTTAGTTTGTGAGAGAACTGAACAGAGACATACCAGTATGACTGCTGATCTTAGGTGTCACTGGCCACATGATACTGATTGTCTCTGATTACCTATTTGCTTGGATAATGTGGAGCAGTCTGCTCTTGATGCGCCGTCAGATTTGGCCTGTCATCTCTCTTGTATGAACTTTATGGAACAAAAAAATCAATATTGTTTTTTCTTCAATGTTCGCAGTTAGCCCCATTTCATCTGACATAGTTTCGGAATTCATGGTAAAGGAGCAAGTGCGTGAAATGAATAAAGAAATTGCTGAGAAAACAGAGAAGTATAAGAAATGCAAGCAAATGTTGGCAGTAAGTAAATGGCTGCTTTGGAAAGCGGAACAGAAAGTAGCTATAGGTGCTAAGTCTTAAAACCAGAAAGCCTACCCAGCTGAGTTGCCTTGCTTCTTTGTGTGATACACTGCGGTTATGGTAGAAATCTTAACATTAGAAAACAAGTTTTTAGTAAGTCAGCTCTTGATTACCTGTGGTGGTAGAGAGTCCAGAGAAGGACCCTTCAGGAAAACCCAGATGCAGTAAAACAAATGAACAAAACTACTACTACTTCTGTGCTTGAGATTTTGAATAATTTTTGGGTTTTTGAATTATTTTTTAAGTGTAATTGCTTTTATAAATCAAATACAGCATGTTGCTATAAACCAGCTGATGTCTGGAGCAAGTATAGCAGTGTTTATCTGATACACTGTTCAAGTGTGGTAACTTCTCCAAATTTTTCTGGGCTTTTACAGCTTTTTGTCATCCCAGTGGGTGCTGCCTACTAGCTTGGGCTCAGTCATCCATAAAGGCATTAGTGCTGTAGCCACAGCAGTAATGCCCTTCAAATAGTAAGACCTGTCAGTCCTAACTTGATTTTTAAATAGCCAGATTGGCTGTATGTATGATGGTGAAGTATTGCATCAGTGATGCTGGTGAAAAATTGACTGTTGTAGAATTGTTTAAGAAATGTTTTCTGGGTGTTGTCTTGTCTCTGTTCACCTTGTTTCTCTTATTTATCACAATGATATTAGTCTATTTTAATCTGCTCTCTAGGATGTAACAACTGTCCTTTGATTCTGCTCTTTACCCTGTCATATGCAGAGCCTGCGGTAGCTTCTGCTGGCTATTTCTTCTGTAGTGATGCATGCGGAAAGCTTTGCCTTTGACCTTCTGGATGAAAGATGTTTACGTTATAAAAGTTACATGGGCAAAGGTTTTGTGTTGAAGCGAGACACTTGATAATCATGATTGCAGTGTAGTATTAGGATACAAAGAAACTTGAAACTGTGAAGGTAAAGAGGAATATCAGCTTGTTGAAAGCTCAGGCAAGAAAAAAAATAGGTGTTGACCATCATTTATGCAGTTTTCAGTGGTCCTGTCCTCTTCAAAGTCTTGAGTCAAGCTTGATTTCTTGGTGTCATTGTTGGGAGTGGGAGAAGAAGTATCTTTAAAATTGTAAATATTTCATACCATGGTATAAACTGCTTTAGGACGAGAAGATGAAATGCAGTGTTTATGCTGATGAACTCGCTAAACTGGAGCTGAAGTGGAAAGAACAAGTGAAAATCAATGAGGGCATAAAATTACAGCTAGCAGCGATGGAGGATCAGTATAAAGTAAGAGATTTTATTTATGACAATGAATGGTATCCTGTTCTTAACATGGTTGCTCATTTCTAATAGTTCAACTAATGAAGAGTTTTAATGGGAAAAAAAACTTGTAACATATTTTTGCTGTAAATAGAAATTCTGTTTTGCATTCATAGAAACAACACAATCTTGTAATGCTTCTTTTAAAGTAAGACAGATCTGCTAAGTGTGTTGCCGAATGGCAATCAGTCTTTTAATACTGTGGGTTTAGACAAACCTCTCAATGATGTTACTCTTGTATTAACAGGAACAAAAGGGCTAGAGAGTTCTAATTTCCTGCTGCGTACTGTAATACTAACAGGAATATTGATTGGTGTGTTTGTCTAAAATCTTCATATTGCATGCTGCATTACCAGTGTAGTAATGTCTACTGCATTTTGTCTGAATTAACTAGAGAGATACAAGATGGGTGATACATTGTTTTTAAAATCATCATGAGAGAACTACTTTAATTTGGAGGATCCTCAACTATGTCTTAGTAGAGTGATATGACACATGCACCAGAAGGTCAAGCATAATGGGCAGCTTTTTCTCACAACAGGCCTTAATCTTTGAGGTTATGTGATAGTAATATATATGTTGATATGGCTTTTTAGGTCAACAAGTACAACATAAGAGCAATGAATTTCCATAAGACCAGCTTTCATGGTTGTTCTCAGTCTAATGATGGTAGTGTAGTTGACAGGATAGAATACTCTCTGTTGCTTATTTTTGCCCGTTGTGATGAACAAGATTAAATTGAACTGGGGCTGTATCAGTTCTAGTAAGAACCCCTTTCCATTAGAAATTACAGTGCTTTTCCTTTGCAAGATACTGAATTACTCTACAGCTCATTTCAGCACTCTGTAGGCTGTCCTTTTTCGACACTTTTCAAAGGTCTAATTTCAGTTTTATAAAATGTATGACTCTTTCCAATGTATTGAATTTTACTAATTAGTAGTGATCAGTTGCCCTGCATAATTTAATGTAAAATAAATTTATTTTCTTTTTTAACTTCTCAACAGCAGGAGTAGTAAATAATTGGTTCCAAAATTGAAAGCATTATGACTGTAATTCAAAACTTGTTATCATGCAGGAGGGTGCTGGTGGTGGAGAAAAAGTGAGCTTTTCTTCCCACTCAGTAGATTTCTCTCTGACTTGAACTAGGAGAAGGAATTTCAGAACTGAAAAAATTTGATATGTAACTGTGCAGAGTATTGAGCCTGTATGCTAGAAAACCAAGTGGAGGGATAATCTCCAAATAAAATAGCCCTTTGTAGAGAAAGATTATTTAAATAATAATTTTGAAGCAAGGAGGAAGCCTGGAAGAGTTGTGTAATGTGTCAGTTGCATCTCTTGCCAGAGCACCCAACAGAGACACATGAAACAAATCTAGTGTCTTTGAGGTTACGGTTCTCGGTTCTGTGGTGGGACGTAAGAGCTGGAGAGAAGTGAATGAAATAAATCTCTGGAATGCCAATGGGTTCCTTCAGAAATGATGAGAGGAGGCTTGCAAACCATCAACTGTTTCTGGGCAGTGGTGACCCTCCTGCCATTAGCATCGCTGATACTATCCCTTGTTGTTAACTGAGGATTTTATCATTCCAGAGCTGTTTTCTGAAAACTGGCAAGAAGGGGCTGCAAATGCACTGCCTGGTGTCCAGGAGATAAACTTAGGGAGAAGTGTTGGTTTAGATTTGTAGTAGTACTAGATGTTGTATGTAACTGTGGTAGATAAAATGATTTCCGTCTGAAAGGCAAACTTAATCACTGAACTTTTTGTTTTGGCAATATAACATGCAGGGAAATAGTTTCTATTCACTAGTACAGGAACCTTAAACTTCTTTTCATACAGGTTCAGCTGGCGGAAAAAGAGAGACGAATAAAGGAACTGGCATCACAGTTGGAACTCTTTACCAGTGAGAAGGTATTGTCAGGATTCTTGTTAAATTTTGTAAATTACTCCTTCTTTAGTTTGAGGAATTGCAATTTATTTTTGAGAATTTGCTTACTCTTTCAACGTACTTTTCCGTATTTGGATATTTTGCCAAAATGAATTAGCATTTAAAAGTACAAGTTCTATTAATAATACTAATATATATACATTTTTTAAAATGTACACTGTAGTATACCAACTTGCCAAAACTGACTCACCCTTTGAAAATACTGTCATTTATTGTTCTGTAGTAGTGTTCTAAAATATTTTCTACATACAAGCTAACAAAAATGTTGCAGTGTCAAAACTTAATTCTTTGTTCCTACCTAGAATGATCTTCCATCCAGTAGTAATAAAGTAATTATTTCTGTTTGCAGATGGGGATTACTCTGGGTAAATTAATAATCTGAGATTGCAGCTAGCTATACAGTTCGCAGAACACAGGAATTTTTTGTTGTTTTGTCCTATATTCCTTTCTCATCTCAGCAGCATCACTGTTTTTCTGCAATTTCAGTGGACTTCCAGCCTCCTTCCTGCTTTATTCCTCTTATGTCTCAGTGAAGGAGGTTCAGCTCTGTTGTGTCTAGAGGCTGATACCAGTTTAGTGCATGTGCTGCTTGGCCAAATAGAGAAGATTATTACTGAGCTCATGCTGCAGCCTTTCTGTCCTCTAAGGGGGCATCAGTTAACAAAATGTACAGGAATTCAGTTTCTTTGAGACAGACTCTGTCCCTCATAGTTTCAGGAGTAACTGGCTGACAGGCAGCACAATCAGTAAACCTTACTCCTGTTGGAATCCTGGCAGAAGACATGAATGGTACATACCTAGGTTGACAATATATTTTTTCCATCACTGATTAGGATTATTTTTGCCTTTATCCAACATTGTCCTATGAGATACAGACATTTCAGCAGTATAATCTCCAGGTTGTTCATGGTGTGTGCGTACAACCAAATCCTTTGGACATCTGCTGTTCTCTTACTGACTGCTTGTAATAGCAAGAGCAGCTTGACCTGTGACAGCAGTGACTTCTGTAAACTACAACTGGAAAAATATCAGAAAAGGATACACAAGTAGTACTCTGATTTTTAAATACGTGATAGTCAACTCTTGAAAGCAGCAGTCCATTTTCTATCTAATCAATTTCATTACCATTACTGTTAAACCAGACATTCTGAAATATTAATGCTAATGTTCTAATGTTGGAAGTACCTCTAAGGTATTATATGGCAAATAGTCAAAGCTAGGTTTTACCGAAAAGTGGAGTAATGAAATGTCTTTATTATATTCAGGTGGTATTGCATGATACGGTGTCCAGTATGAACAGATTCTTAGTAAAACCAGGAATTTGCATACTGATATATTGAAATTACACGAATTTCAGATTAAGCTAGTTAAATGCTTGGTAAAACTCTAGATTCTTAAGTAGTTGGTATTTAAATTATCTTTTTTTTTTTTTTTTTTTACCGAAGATGTACTTTTTACTAGATCTCTTGTATTTTTCTAATTCAAAAGAAGCAAAATAAAAGTTGACTTTTGATGAATCTAGTTTAGCTGGAGGGAGTAATTTTAAACACCACACATATGAAGGAGACCAACTGTAATAATAATGTATGGAGCTTATAAAAGCTTGAAACTTTGTCTACCAAATTTATAGATATTTACATTACAAAGAAGAATCAAAGTGCCTTGCTAGGCTGGAGCCATGATTTAAAAGGCTAAGCACAGTATAGTAAACAGCATTTCAATTTATACTCCATTATCAGTGTTTGTTTATAAATGTCACCAAACATAGCATGCTAAAAATGTTCATTTACTGTATCTTCAAACCTATAAAATTACTTGGTTTCTATTTTATTTACATACTTATGTAGCCTTTGATTTATTTTTTTTTTAATTTTTTTTTTTAATCAGTCTCTACCCTAGCTATCCCAACTTCTGGCTAAGGCAGTTTTACAGCACCTTTTTACAGTCACTTTGATCTACATGCTGTTTTAATCTTATGTGATGCTAAAATTAAAGTATTAATGCTACTGCCTCTCATTCTAAACTGCTTCCATATTGCAGAAGAAATTGATTTTAAAAATGAAAATCGTAATTTCTCTGCTAATTAATTGTTCCTGCTTTGTATTGAGAAAAGATGAATTATTTAGATTTTACACACTCACTAAAACTTTAGGATGTAATCCTAACCACTTAACCCTAACTGTTTCAATCATATGTGCAATTTAGTCTATAAATCTAGAGTAAAACTAGCATAGTTTTATATCGTATCTACAGGAGGATATTTTACTTGGAGGGTGTTAGGCAGAAATTGTGTTGTCCTGTATTAGAAGGTTTTTTTAAAGGAAAATAAACACTACTGTGTTTATGGCCAGTGCTCCAAAAAAGGTAACTTTATGTAAGCTGCCTCATCGTTTGTAAATACCACTTTTTTCCTGTTTGAAAATGACTTTATGATGTTGGTGTTGAAGCCTAAACCTTTTGTGTCTGAAACCTGATAGTACATATATAGCAATAACTGTATCATTTCTGTCTTTTTTCGTTTGAGTGGTGTTTTGTTTCCAGAGTAGTTACTGCTACTTGATTTTCACGTTTTTGTGTTCTAGAATTTGGGCTGAAGTTTACCTGTTTTTAAGAAAAATATATCAAGTTGTTCCTTTTGACAACTGAGGCATTTTACTTCTGTAGTTAAATGTTGAAGTTCTTGTTTTAAGTTTCACTTTAAAGTCTTTTGGGGAAAAGGCACACTTCCATCTGAGGTTTTTGTTAACGTTACATTAGCCAATATTAAACATGAACCCAGAGAACCCAGAAGAAAATGCTAACCAGAAAGAATAAAATGATTGGAAAGCACATCTCTTAATATCTTTTTTAAAAACTATTTTAGTGATTTTTTTTAAATGATAATGATTATTTTCATTTTTGCATCTTAGAATTTTTTGCTTCATTCTGAATTGTAAATGGCATGTTCCTTTGGATATTCGTGGCATACATGCTCTCCCTTAAACCATTTTATTAAATGGAAGGATGAGAAAGACTTTTCTTTGGATAAATTACAGCGGACGCACTGACCACACTTAAGTCACTTTAATTACTGTCTTTAACATATATATTGGCTTAGAATTTTAGTGGTTTATAAGTTATAAAACCCCTTCAGTCATTTATAATATTTTTTATCTTTATGGATTATATGCAAGAAGTGAGAATTTTAAGTATATTAATTTTTTGAAGCGTTCTTAAAGAATTAATTGCCTTTCTCATACAAATATTTAAAGAATGCAATTAAATGAAGCAGGCTGTTTAAGCCCCTCAATAAATTCAACAATTTTATATTTTGGATGAAAACACTGAATTTTGGAAGTGAGCTACACACAAGCCCTTGCTAAACTGTAAATATACAAATATAAAGTAGATGAGGACATAAAGGGAAGAGGAAGAAGGATGAATTGGAACTTTGCTCATTGTTCATAGAGGGCAAATTAATTTTTACAGGAAGTGTAATAACTTTGAAATCCATGTAAGAAAAAACTTCTACTGGATTTAACATCTACTAATTTGTAATTAGACAAGTGCGGTTTTGTCCATATGATACTTGTAATATAAACATTATTTGAAATAAGTGACCTAGTCTGGATTACATTTGTGAAAAGTAGCACCGATTTCTATTTGTTAATATAAACAGAAAATATCATCCTTGAGTAATAGTTTTACTTCCTAGAGTCAATTGTCTGAATTTTATCAAAGATGGAGAATTAATCAATCAAGTCTAGCAGTTAGTGCTGAGTTCAGGGGCCTTTGCATGACTGCTAGGGGCGTGACCACCGCACCTAGGCTAGAGTACAAATAGTCTTCAGTCTGATCTGTCTCAAAATTTTTGTTATCCCACTGTTTCCCTAAATTCTGTTTATGTGAATGTCTGTAATGTGGTCCCTCCAGCTGCCATCACGTTAAAAATCTTGCCTGGAATTTCAACAGAGTTGTCACACCTGCTGCTTTCAACAAAATAATTCTCTTCCAGTTTTAAACACAGCTACATCCAACACATCTTGGATGGAGCTTAACGTGCGTCCATGGCTGTATGCAAGTAAGGGTAGCTGACACATGGGACTGCTTCAGGCTCTGCGCTGGTTTCTTTCCCTGTGTGTGTGTGTGCGCATGTGAAGGACATGGAGCAAAAGTTTGTTCTAACGTTCTTAATGTCCTACTGAAAGTGACAGCCTTGAGCTCAGCTTAGCTGATGTTAGGTCACACCTCATGTAGGTCAATGTTCTGCTGTTAGACACCAGAAAGGGGCCAGTGCAATGTGCTTAATAGTTCTTAAAATACTTGCTACTCACAAATTCATAGGGAATTGTCACGTATGTACATACATGTACTTCTAAATACATACATCTACATATATGTACCTACTAAAATGGCGCATTCTTGAATGGTATGGTATGATACGAGGAAAAGAATTTTTTTAATTGTAACGTTTAAAAACGTTTCTCACTGCACATTATCTTTAACTATGTTAATCCACCCATTCTTTACCTATTTAACTGATTTTTTTTTTTTTTCCTTGTAAAAAAGGGTGCGGATATTTCGTGAAAAAAGTGGCAGTTCTGGTTTTGTAATTTGTTTTTTGGTATGTATGGTGTATTTGGCACTAGATGAAAAGGCAGAGGGAAGGTTAGCAGTTGTCTTTTTAAAAACATGTTAGATATTTCATAAAAATTTCAAACTCTGCTAGGACTCCATAGATTATTTACATTTTAAACTTTGCATTACTTAGGAACTTGGCAGGACACCAGGAAATCAAGCTGGAAGGATGATGGAAGGACAGATTTCACAACAGGCATTACATTTTCGCAATCCATATTCGGAGGAAAATGGACCAGTTCCTCCAGTGCCAAGTAGACTACCAGTATTGCAATATGGAAACCCTTATGCAATTCAGGAAAGAAGAGGTAAGTAAATTCCTCCCCCGCTCCCCCAGTATAATTTCTATCTCACTGCTTCAACAGCAACGACTCATTTAACGCAGGTTAAGGACCAACAACCTTTATACTGGTGTATGGAGCCTTTATTGATTGATGAGAATCAGTAAAGTGCCTTTATTTTACTGATGAGAATCAATAAGGTAAAGTTTTTTAGAAATGTCTTTTGAAAAAGGTGATTTCTCTTCTATTGGTTTATGTTCTCTAAACCAGAAATGTGTTTAAATCTTGATTTTTAAATGTAAGGTAGCACACCTGTAGTCTCAAAATACAAACTCTACTGAACAAAGATGCTCTAATTAATTTTTTTTTCAGATGGAGCAGATGGCGCTTTTAATCCTGATGAGATCCAGAGACCACCTGTTAGAATGTCCTTTCGGGAGCTAGAAGATGATGTAGTGTGTAGTCAGCCTTCACGCAACCTTAGTCGGCCTGATGGTTTAGAAGATCCTGAGGATAGCAATGCAAGTTACCTTTTTTTATTTTTTTTTTTTTTCCTTTATATGTCTACTGATGGGTAATGAAGAGTTGCACATAGGTTTTCAGTGTCTGGTAAGCCTGAGTTACTGTTACATAAATCCAGAATTGATTTTTCTTTTCCCTGTATTTGGGTGAATTTCACTTGCTTTGAAGGAGAGAGCTTTGCATGTCAACTGATGATGATATACTTGTTCCCCCAGCCTCTTGAGTTACTGACGGCTTGTTTTGGTATTAGGACACTAGCTGCTTAATCTTTTTAAATACTGAAGTAGAAAAAGCCCAAGTAATCTCAACTCATTCTGATTTTTCTCTCCTGTGTGATAGAATGAAGGCTCAAAATGTAGCCACGTCTTACTCATTAAATAGGGAGCATCTGCTATTCGTTAGCAGCCGGCCCAGCCTTAACCCATGACAGATTAGTATGTAGGAACTACACTGAACAGAACAAATTAACATTTGAAGGATTCTGATACCACTATTTTCAGTTAAATGCTGAATGGAAAAATTGTATCCTATTAGATACTTTACTTTACTGTATTAATCTTTTGTTCTGTCTTTTGCAAGTCTGCATTTAGGAATTTCCATTCTGAGGTGTTTGCTGTTAGGCATGTATTTGGCAGAGCTCACTGACAGCTATCTAAAGCTGATTAAACCAACAGTGACAGATTCCCACTGATTTCTTTTCTAGGGCTTTGTATGTTTTAAGTGGAAACTCGTTAGCTTTTCTTTTTAGTACAGTTACCTTGCGTGGTCTGGTATAAAAAATGGGCTTCTGTAATAAACTGGACTATATGTCTTCATTTGGACAGGAACAGACTTACTACTCTTTCTCATTCTAAGTACTCTTGCACCTTCAAAAATATTAAACAAGAAATACCTTTCTGCAAAGTATTGTGCTCTTTGCAAGTACAGTGGTATCATGACCTGTTTCTCATTTAGTCTAGTTTGCCACATTTAATTGCTATTAACCTTTGCAGAAGCTGATCAGTGTTCAGACAGGCATGATTTTAGCCCTGGTGCTCAGCACCTATAATGGAGAAAAATGTATTTCTCCCTCCTGCCTTTTGCCCCCAATGTCCATTACTGTGAATAATTAGAGAAACTGTCAGAACTTCTGCAGCCTGTTCAAGATCTGGAATGTGAGCTTAATGCTGTTGCCCACCTTTACTTTACATTTTGCATATTAAATCTGATCATTCTTGACGTAGATATTACATATGACAAGCTCTTCTCTTCTTTAGTCATCTGCTTCAGTTTAATTAGCAGGGTGTTCTTCCTGATCTATGTGCTTTGCCCTCTTGCAAACCCAAGAGAAACTGTGCTAGAGTCTTGTGCTCATTTGCTGACACAGCTTGGATTTTGGTAATGAGATGGAATATAACAGGCTTTAAATAAAGTTCAACTTGAGGAAAGGTGCCTTTAAATAAAATAATTTATATATTTATTTTTTTACTTTCAAAAGAGAATCAGTTGCATGCTCCTCCTCAAAACAGGCTGTGTGTGTAGTGTACAAATTTACCTGGAAATGAGTAATTGCAAGAATCTTTACAGAGAGACTCAGTAGTATGCCAAAGACGGAACAGTTCTGATGCAGTAGTTAAAGAAGTAACCAGGGAAAACTTCCATGTATGTAGGTTATTCATCATAAAGGGGAGCCTGTCGTTTGTGCAGAAGAAACAGCAAATATAAAATGATAAATATTAAGAGGTTACCATTTGTTGTACTGGTTTTTAAATAAGATGTAGTTCTCTGCATTTTTGAACCAGTAAGACGTAGAGACTTCTGTTGGAGGAGGATTCCCTCTCAGAAGAAAAGGGATTGGTAGTCTTACCGCTTGGTTTAAAATGTTGCCCTTGTATGGACTTTTGTCGTCTTCCTCTCCACATTACTACATGTTACATCAGTTTAAGTCACTTCCACCACTTCATGGCTGTTTTGGTGGTGGCTTACCTACGAGGCTGAGCACGTCTACGTTATTTATCTCAGGTGGCAGATCTTTGAGACCCTGGGCCAATACTCTGATACATCGGAGAATGAAGTAGAGGTTGCGTACGCACAGCTGTAAACAGACTTTTCAGAGACTTTTTTCAGTCTGTAAGGTGAGAATAGGGAAGTGTGTGCACACACGTGTGAGAAAAGCTTTGCAACTTGCTTCTGCAGAATGAAGGCCAGAAATGGGACCTCCTTTCCTTCAGGAGCTAATGTGGCTGAGCTGACGTGGCTGCGCCATGTGTACTTTCTAGCAATATACTTCTTTAAAGTCTCAGTGAGACAGCCTTGGCTGATCTTCCTGCCTGTCCCAAGGAGGAACTATGAGTCTCTCAATTACATGAATAATCAGAGGTATGGCAGAAGATAGTAACCACCCTTTTGGTCGGTGATGGGGAAGAAGAGCACCAGCTTGGTCTGTGTTCACTCTCTGCTGCTTTCTCATTCCACTGTCAGAAGTTCTGTGCACTCCTTAAGAGCTAGTGAGTAGTAAGAGCTACACTCCTTGGCCTAGTGAGGCAGGACTTTTGCATAGCCTTACAGTACTGGATGGGTGCTGGGGTTTGTACTGTGCCCATTTGTAGAAGGCAAGGCATCACAGATGCCCTAAGCTCGCTTTAAGAGGATTATTTTAATGCTAAAGCTGTGCATGAATGTTTTTCCTGAGGATGCTTCTGTACCTGCAGCTAATGGTTTGATCTCCAGTTCTGTGGAGTACAGCTGCTGTCTTTGTAACCCTCTGCAAGTCGTTTTGTCTTTCCTACTGGTAAGTTAGAAAGTTCTCAAGCTCATGGTTGAGATGATCCTTCTGCTGAGGCATTTGCTCCTGATGTGACCTGACCTTAGTTTCTACATTCTTAAGGAGAATGCTGTTTGCTCTTACCCCAAGTGTAGTGGGCTTCCCTTTCTGCTTCTCAGTAAAGACGTTTCTGTTACTGGCCATTGTCCTGACTAGCAGCGTAAGATCAGGTGGTGGAGACACTCCTGCTCTACTGAAACTGGTGCTGCCTTTACTGTCTTTGGTTGCTCCGAGGTGTGGACCAAGTAAGGATACATCTGCAAATGCCCCAGAGCTTTTGTTTCATGTTGCTCTTGTGTTCGATTTTTGTTTCGCCCAAAGCTTTGTTCCTTGGGAATGGGCACTTCCAGAATGGGCACTTCCATGTATTTGGTTGACGTGAAAAAGCATCAGTTTTGTGTGACTTGAAGACTTCGTGGAATTGTTCATAGCTTTGGCTTCCCGAACTCTTGGGCCGTTTAAACTGTGATTTCTGAGCGGGGTGGGCTGGTCTGTGTTAATCGCGCCAGATAAGCACGCGCACGGGGTGAGCTTGTGTAGGGTAGCTGGCTTGCCACGAGTTCCTGCCGTCATCTGCTCAGCACTAACCTTCCGTTTGCTCATGCTCCCATAATTGACCAAAATGTAATCATTTGAAGCAAGTAATTTCTAGAAGCAGGTATGTACGGGAGAGATCCATAAACAAAATGTACATATATTTTTTAATACTAAAGTGTGACTTTTAGAAAGGTAGTCCTGATTACAGTTGGCAGTAAGCCCAGAGTAACTATCCTGAGGCTCTTAAACAGTGTCGTTAAGTCACAGAAAATTTGTGGGGGATGGAGAGTGTAACATTTGGCAAGTGACAACCAGGTCAGGGTATTTTTTGAGATGCATCCAAAATGGCCTTTCTCCTAGCAAAAAATCTCACTGCACTTTATTAGCCTGATCCCACCCTGGCAGCCAGTGACTGTCTTTGTGTGGGATGGACATAAAAGGAGCAGAAAGTACCAGGTATTTGGGTACCTTTTGGGAGACCAGACTGCTTGCAGAGAGGTAGAGACATCTGAAAGAGTTTGTTTGATTTCTCTCTCACAGCAGAGCTGAATCACGGAAGGACAGTGTAGGTACTCCTCTTTCCAGCTCATCCACACCACACATTAGTGGTGTGTCTGTTCATTTGTTGTTAAAGCTTAAGGTGGGTGTCGGCTGCCCGTTAAAATGGTCTGTAGAAACCAGAGACGGGGGTGGTTCAAGTCTGTGGGTTTTGTACAGTGCCACACGGCTTTGTTTCTAATTTCCGTGTGGCAGTCTTGGAACTGCTTACCGTCGGAGTTAGGAGAGCAGTACTTGAGACAAACTTTGTGAGTGCTGGTAAAACAAGGTGAGTTGTGCTTGTTTCTGACAGTTCATGTCTGGCTTCCCCTTCTTCCTTTTCTACGACAAACCCCCTCATTTTTTTTTACCGTGCTTTATTGTGTAATACTGTATTTATCTTTATGATCATATAATCTGTGGAACTCCGTAAAGAGTCGGAGTTACAGTCCAGTGATAATAGTTAACTCGTGATGTTAAAGGCATCCTTTATAATTCGTTAACCTGCAAGCAAAGCTGGCTCTGGGTCTACACGAAGGGCAGATCGAACTGTCTGTCTCTCAAAACATGAGCATGGGCTCCCGTCCAAACGCCTTGGGTGACTTGAGCGTGGGGTTTTGGGAGTAAGCTGATGCCCTTGCTTAAACTACAGCATAGGCCGAGGCGTTGAGGCCCAGCCTCCCGGCAGTGATTGCCAAACCCTTTCCGTAAAGCAGCTTCAACGAGCTGCCTCATTTCAGCCATTGGGTCTTCAGGGGATGGCTTGTTGTACCATGGGAGAGCAACCGGTTTTTAAATGTGAGGTCTAAAAGCATGTGTAATGTCATTTTGTAAGGTTAAAGGATGTGTCATTGGCTATGCTAGCTGGAAGAAACTGGGCACTAAGTGATTGTGAATCCAGACGGGTGGGATCTGTCTTCAGTTGGTGTGGCTCTCCATTTGAGAGGGTGCGCTTCAGGAGTTGTGTCCGCCTGCAGTGACGGAAGCAGGCAGCTCTCCGAGTCCAGTACAACAGACACGTTCTGTGTTACCCAGAAGTTCCAGGTTCCCCCAGGGCAGCGCGCAAGAACTTGTTGTGGTTGGTGATTGTTTACTGTAACGTGTAATTAGCAGAGCTGTGAAATCCTCTCAGACTAAGACAAAGTTGTCATTGTTCCTGTTTGACCGTTCTTTAATCATAGAGCAACCTCTGCCCTTTGAGGCGTGCTTAATACAGACTTGCCGCCTTCTTGTTTGGGTTAAGCGTAACGAAAGGTAAGACCTGATCTGTAGATCCTTGGCCAAGAGCAAAAGTGCACTGGAGAGACGGACTTTCTGTACCTTAACAGCGTGATACCCCCAGCTGTTTAGTGCCACCATTCCCAGGTGGTGCAGAGGGCAGACGCTACCCTAAGGAAGACACTGAATGATTTTTACAATTAATCGTACTGGGTCATGAGAAAGCTGCATCCTTAGGACACACCTCACGACGTTGCTTTGACATCAGAAGAGCCTTTTTTGAACCCGTTAGTGGCTCACGCTTGCCTTTTGTTGCAGCTGGCGCCGGCAGGGCAGCCGCGCGGGGCCGCGCAGGTGTGCCTGTGCAGAGGAAAGCGTCACACGCTTTTAAATCGGCTTTTCAAAAAGGAATGAGGCGGAATGTTGTATTTGTACGTGGTAGGCTATCAACACTGGCCAGAAGCTGAAAGAAAGGACAAAAGGTGTAAACAATTTTATCTTCCCAAGTGACTATCGGTAACCCAAATGTTGGGTGTTTTGGGTTTTTTTTATTCAGCAATTTTGTCCAGGTTTTGGCACTATAGAAGCTGCAGCATTGTAGCACAAGAGTACTTTGAGTAGTTTTTCTTCTTTAGCACATACATCCTATCTCTTTCGTGACAAAAGGAACAAATAATATTTTAAAACCTGTGTGCCCTTTTTACTGCAGGTGCAAAGCAAACAAGTTAGAGGAAAATTTGTCCGTTGCTATCATCTGCCAGAGCCGGCCCCACGGTCTGCTCAGCGGAAATGTTGAAACTGAACGGCTGTTGTCAGGAGAACAGTATTGAGGGAATCTTCCCATCCTGCCCTGTTTCCTTTAACCCTTCATAAGGGCAAACTATGTTAGCCTAAAAATGAGAGAGATGTTGGAATGTACACACTAGTTATCTGTACAGAGAGTCTGCTGCTGCATATTGTGGAGTCGTAGAACTGATTCGGTTGGGAGAGACCTTCAAGGTCATCGAGTCCAACCACATGGTCCCTTGCACATCTGCTTCTGAAGATCAGCTACATAATGCGTAGTTCTTGCATGTTGGAGAGGAAGAAGAAAGTGATGTAGGGGTTGGAGTTTCCAAAATCTTGCTGAATTCCCCTTTGTTCCCACCTTGAAATGAGTAGGCTTCGTGCTGCATTATCTGATTGCAGAATAGAACCGAGATGCTGTATGAGCGTTCGATACTGTGCGAAGAACAGGTTTGCAAACACAGTTCTGGCTTTCTTCCCCCTCCTTCGGTTTTCCTTTCATGCTGTTTTCTGACGTCACTGCTTTTAAATCTTAATTTGTAACAACGTCCTCACGGAATAAAAAGCCCAGCCCCCAAACCTGCAAACCCGAGGTGCCCTGACCCCTTGCTTGTCAGAAGGGAACCCCCAGAATCATCGTCTTATGCTTGGGAGTTCCCCATTGCAGGCGGATTTCTGTCCCCATGGTGAAGGGCGGCTTCTTCCCTGGAGCTGACCTGCCCTCCTGGCCTGGCAGCAGCTCCGAGGCCAACCCGCGCGTCCCGTGGCAGCGCGAGC